TTTTCAGAATTATAACCAGACCTCATATTCATATAAATGTATTTATTATATACGTTAATTGTTAGGACAGAATTTTAAGTATTATGAACTTTTGGTCTTGACTATTTTATATAAGGGCACATGAAGAAACCACCTCAAAATATGTTTAGTTCTATCAAAATGACTTTGACTTTATCAATCTTTTCAACACATTCCTGCCTAATGCAACACTTTTGCCATTTCTGCAGAATAGTAAAATATGTAGTAAACCTATTCTACATCTTTATCTCTGTTAGCATCTGATCTTCAAATCCCAAAAAAATTAGAGAAAGAAAGGCCTTGGTATTTCCATGCTAAAACCAAATTACAGTACAACAGACATATTAAGTTGGGACCACCAAATCAGAGAATTAGCCAAGCAAAAAATCTAATCACTTCATTAAGATAAATAGAAGATATTATTTAACTATGTTATGACATGTGTGTTTAAACATATACTATATACTCTTACCGAATAAGACCCACTGCTTTAAATGTAATGGACTTGGCAAGAATTCTGAAAGGATAATTGTGTCTGAAAGGATTAAAGCAAGCAAGTGATTTAAGTGCTAGGACAAGGTTAAAGCTCCTTTGTTGTTTTTGCTCCAGACAAGACCTCAGGGCTAGTTAAGATGGTGCAAAAAGGGTCTGGCTACTAAAAAATCTAAAAAAATGACATTTCTTAAGTTTGGTCCTCGTTTCAAAAGATTAAAAGTTACATCCTTTGTCTCAATGCAGGAAACAATTAAAATGACACAACATGGGAATTTTCGTTCCAGATAAGGGTGGGACCAGGCAGGATCTGAAGTTTTGTCTCATAATTTGATGATCTCAAAACAGATCGAATGTCTTTTCACAAAATATTAGGTAAACATCTAAATGAATTTGTGGTTCTAAGTAATTGAAGATCAATTTCCTTGTTTTCCAAGTGGAAGTCTTTCCATGACCATATCCTCTGGCAAATTGACACTTCCTGTACCTGACAGACTATAATGGCTTCCTGGTCATTTCTCATCTTGCATGTCTACATCTTAAACTACTAGATCTCCTTTCTGTCATTTTCTTCTGAAAGGATATACTCATTAGTAGAAAATAGCAATGCTTTTCAAAATAAAAAGTAAATGACTTCTGAGAAAACACCCCATTTTTTGGTTTTGATTTCTCCCCAAAGTCAAGAAAATACGCCACATAGTTACTACACCTGCTAAATAACTTACTGACGTTTTGTTGTATTTAGAAAAAGAGATTTCCTTGATATGACTGAAAATTTCTGACAACTGTTCAACTCTTAACTAAACTTGCCTTGTTGCAGAAATTAATGATGGCCATTTGTTAAAATTGTGTTTGAAAGAACTGACAGAATTATACATAGATTCTTTGATGCATGAAATGACAAATAAGCTTTCAGAAGTTATAATTAGGAATTGGCTCATTTTGAAAAATTGTTCACGATATGATGTTTGCTGCGGATCTATTTTCTGCAGTCCTGTCATTAAACTCCCTTCGGTCCAATTATTTAATTTACGGTAACAGTAAAGTCTTTTTTTTTCAATTTTAGTTACCTTTGGCAAAAAATTTCCTCTGACAATTGCGATTTTTAATATTTTTGGACTTGATATTTTCTCCAATCTAAGAGCATTAATAAACACATGATCATTATTTGCCACTTACTGTCGGTGTTTTCTTAATGGAAAGATTATAATGAATGAATAAAAGAAAGTTGTCAGAATGAATTAATAGATAACTGGTCAATATGTGTATTATGTCTAACTAATTAGTTCTGAAGATTTTGATGGGGAGCCATCTTTTCTTGATTAACGACTAACAAGCTTTACTAATTATCGTCTAATGAGTCGATTGCTTCTGTTTGATAACAACAGGAGATTTTGGGGTTGATAATAACCTTTTATTTTAGAGAGTAGAGTTAAGATGGCTGAAGGTGAAACTGTTAGACTTGGCGCCATAAATGATTCAAGGAATAAATTACTTAAATTGGTTCATGTTTCCCTTTATTCATGTGGGTGAATTGCATATGAATTCCTATAATTGAAACATGTCAGTTATTGAGAAATTGCAGTAAGAATCTGTAACAGTTGGAATAATTGCGCATTAAGTCAATCTTGGTAAAAAAAAAAAGCAACATGATTAAGACATCTTGATCTAGTCAAAGTTTCATTTTTTTATTGAACATTACTGTCTGTCAATATTTTTAATTCTCGTTTGTTCATTTTGAAGCCTGTCATTTTTTCTGTGGTCTGAATTGACATAAAATTAGCATCCAAGGTTTGTTATGATTTTGAAAACCTCTAAGGGTTGTTAGTTCAGAGTCTTCAATTTTAATTAGGAAAAGCAGGAGAGAGGTTGAATTAATCCAAATTCTGAAGTTTTGTTTTGTAAACTCATTAATTTATGCATAGAATAGTGAATAATATTCCTTTAAAGTTACATGTTCACCATCCATTTGATAAATCGTACCATAGTCTCAGAAACAGGAATTTTTTAGCTAAGCTTATTGGTAAAATTGTTAACAGCTCACTGTCATATACATGTGTGTCCAGAAATATCTAAGTTTGAAAGTTAAATTGACAACTCGTTTTTTCTTGAGACTATAGAAAAGATATATTACGAAATAGGAAGTGAAATTTCTACTTTGTGGTATATTCTGTAGACTAATACATATTTTCAAGGTCCAAATCAACCCCTAAAAATGGCGAAACATGGCCTTTCGAGTGAAAGGATTAAAGAAGTTTTTGTAAAGATATATATTTATTGATTCCCTGTAGTTGAGAGTAAGTGACTTGTTAGCAGACATTACCAACATCCGCTTAATGCTTTGTCTTTAAATCGTTCGAAAGTATCATTCATGAAATTTGAAGTTAGTTTTATTGATAAACGATTCTTTCCGGAAACGTGTAGGAAGATATGAATGGATGTTTCATTCAGATTATGAATGGGAAATGTGAAAAGAAATAAGACATTTGAAGAAATAAATTTTCTATACATGAATAAAAGATGATAATTGTGTAAATTGGAGCATGCACAAGGGAGAGAATTTGAAAGTCATATTTCACCCGCATGGCCTTTTTTTTTCACCGGCAGAAATCTCGTAAAAGTGCTTTATCTTTTGAAAGTTGACTTCCACTGCCTTGTTGATTTGGCTAATAAATGACTTACAATTCCCAAAGCACATCTTAAGAATTGCTAGGCCGAAATAATTAAAGATTTTTAAGTGAATTTAATGATGATGAGATTACTCTCTGCTGCTCTCTGATTTCGTCTGCTTTCATTAGTCTCTTCATATTTCTGGAGATGGAGGCAGAAATTAAAAAGTGAAAATGGCAAGTGGTTTAAAACTAATTTTATTTATGACTTCCGCTCTTCATGCTAAATTATAGAAGGAAAAAGTTTGTGAAATGAGATCTTAGATAAACTATTTACTTTGACATCTTTCAAGATTTCATATTTTATAACCATTAATTTTAATTTAGAGTGGATGTTTTATCTATCATAATACCAGTACAACCTCAATCAAACACCAAAATTACTGAAATTTTTCTTTGAATTCGTACTCCATTTCAAAGATATAAAAAATCTTTGCGTAAATTTTAATGAATCTTATAAGGACTTTTTGAGTTCTCTTAATTGTAGCTTCTCAAATTAATCGGCCTCAAGAAATCATGTTGATAGTAATACTAATGAAAGTTTTACTTCTTTTTGCATTGAAGAGAATACTAACGCGAGCAGAAACAATCATTCATAAGAAGAAAATCCGCATTTAAGTTAAAATATGTAACAGTGTGCTACATGAATAACAAATCGTGTCAAATATCTTCTGTTTTCTTGATAAAAAGCTTTCAAATATTTTAAACTAGATTCAAAATGGAGATACCAGAGTTTGTCAAGCAGAGGTGGAATTATTCTTATATGCAGAACCAGAACATTTGTAACGCAATTGAAAGAAATTGATGTGATTTTGATGGAAAAAATTTTTGTCTCAACTTTTCCATCTGCAATTAGATTTTCTGTCTGTTTTTTTTAGGTAGTCAAGGTTTTTTTTCTAAGTTGTCATGGAAATTATACAGGTTGTGCCACCTACATTTTGGTTTTTGAGACAGCGAACAATGGCATAAAATGAAAACTTTGATAAGCACTAAAATGATTTACTGGACAGGCACTGTATGCTGGTAACATTTGATACCACTCAGCACTTTGGATGGTCAACTGTCTTTAAGTTGATAATGTTTAAGGTCATTTTTAGTGGAATTCCCAAAGAAGAATGTAAATGATCAAACCCCACATACAATGACCCATCACCTCAGTTTTTCTAGTGTAAGAATGTGTTTTTTGGGGAAAAGGAAATGTTGATTAATAATAAGTATAAAATGTGTTTAGTGTTGAACTAGTTCACCCAATCCCCTAGTGCCAGTACAGGCTAAGATTTGTATATGATATGGTATTCATACCAGGGTTAGTTATACTGGAACTCTGACAATTATTTCCAGATGTCTTTAAACCTGATTCCGTTTTTCTCTCAACTCGTGTTTTATAGGCCAACGTATATATTTACATTGTTGGCCTTCTCCAACTTGGGAAAAGAATGCAGATCAAAAACAGTCTGTAATGGACAATCAACTTGGTTTCATACCTTTTAACTTTCAGTAACATTTCATACTTTTCCCCCTAAATTTTATTTTACCATTTTGAAATTTGAAATGACATTTTAATTTGATTAGCTTATGTAATCAAGTACAGATTGTAATGGAAAAATATGGGTCTTTAAAAAATGGTCTTTTGTCTTTTGGAAGTTGTCTTTGTGTATGAACTTTTTTGTGAAAATTACTATGTTGTTTGTATCTCGAATTTCTAATTAGGTTTTGCTATTCTTGGCAAAAGTAAACTATGAACATCCAAACTCAGGACAGAATGTTTCAATCTTAAATCCCCCCCAAACTCCCTAAGTTTGATTTATTATTTCAGGACCAAGAGCACCAAGATGGGCTTCCAGAAAAGGACGACTTCATTCTGTCTCCAGACCAGTTAATTCCTTCTATGATTTCAAATGCATTGCAAATGGTGATCCAAAACCTAATATTACATGGTACAAAGATGGAGAATTATTCAAGAAAAGTGCTATGGAAAAGGTATGTGTACTAAAAATTATCCAGTACATCTGCACTAAGTAATTTCAAGAAATTCTTTGAAGAACAAAAAAAATGAATCCGGAAGACCTGGGCAGGTGTTTAGATGATGACAAGTCTATTTTTCTAGCTTAATTGTTTCAATTATTGTCAAAGAAAATTTGATTAAAAAGCAAAAAGAGTGCTTGATAATAGTTACAGTGATTGATATAATAATGGCAGCTTTTATATTAACTGGCATGTATAACAACAAAATAAACCATAAGTTTTACAGACTCTTATCAAGACAAACAAAGCTAATTGATTCTTCTGTAGGCAAAATAAAATTTTCTGGATCCACACCTCATGGCATTGACTTTCTTTTCATGATGCCTGACATTTCCATGATGTAACCCACTTTTCTTTTTTTCTAAGTCGGAAATGTTGGGCTGGAAATTAACCATCCAGGAACTAGTGCCAAGAGACAATGGTGATTATACTTGTGTCATCCAGAATATTCATGGATCTATCAACTGGACGTTCTCTTTGGAAGTTGTCCGTAAGTAAATGACATATATCTCAAAATTTAATAAATATATTGAGCATTATGGCAAAGCATTATGAACATCATGGCACATTATAATGGACCTTGTTAATCATAAAAAATCCATTGCAAAAATATAATATCATGGCAGAATAAATAATTATCATTCCATGGCAAAATAAAATGAATATCATGGCAAAATATAATGAATATCATGGCAAAATATAATGAATATCATGGCCAATTTATAATGAATATCATGGCAAAATATTATAAATATCATTGCAAAATATAATGAATATCATGAAAAATATAATGAATATCACGGAAAAATAAATGAATATCATGGCAAAATATAATATAATGAATATCATGGCAAAATCTAACATACGACAAAAGGTACTATTATGGTCATTCATTGAAAGAAATGACATTTTCAAATTTTATTTTTTCCAGAGAGATTGCCCCATTCACCTATTATAGATGGACCAAAAAATCAGACAGCTATTGAGGGTGAAACAGTGAAACTTAATTGCAAAATATTAGTCAGTGACCTTCACCCTCATTTGCAATGGGTCAAACATTATATGAAAGATGGCAGTTATAAATCTGACGAAGGTGATCCTTACATTGAAGTCTTACAGGTAGGAATTATCATGAATCTTTCTCTTAATTAAACATACATAATATATTCAGAGCTTATAAGGTCTTAATTGGAACATTTGTCAGATTTCTACTGAGACTGTCAGGATAATTGGAATAATCAACAGATGTAACTTAGAAAGTTAGACTGTGAACAGGCATATTAAATAACTGATTTCTATGGACTATTATTTACATTATCTTATAGAAGAGAATATACACACAATGGAATTTTTTTTTTATTTAAATGGAATATGTATTATAATGAGATGTACAATATGATGAGTATTAAAGTGGTTGCTTCTGCATTGACTAGAATTAGCAGAATCAATCACTTTAATCAATTTTAATGTTTATATTAATTTTGAGAATTGACTAAACAAATGGAACTATTCTTAATTTCAAGAATGAGTTGAACTTTTTAGACATACCGATTGCAACATACTTTGAATGCGCATTTAACATTTTAAAATGAAAAACAGATTTGTCCATTTGTTTGGTTTCTCTTTAACCTGCTTATAATAACCTCCTTTACTTCTCTCCTTACCCTTTTTCTTGACTAATTCAGTTATTTAATGTGAAATCCATTTCATTTCATTGAATTACCATAAGCATGTCTCCTTTAAACCTTGCATGAGACTATTTTCAAAAAGTAGAAGAAAGTGTAGCAGGTCATTTCATAACATAAGTTTTGATTTTGTAAGAAATTTTGCTAGGATTTAGTTAATTAATGGATAAGCATGATTAGATGGAAACTGAACAATTCTATGATAGCATGGAAGTTCATTTTAAACCCCAAAATTATTTGGTGAAAATTACATTTTAAATATAATCAGCATGATACTATCTGTTTCAGTCAAATTTGACTAAATTTGTTTGAGAATTTTTGGTTTAGAAAGACTACAGCATGGAAATAAATGCTATTTTTGCATCCTTCAAAAATTGTTAAAAGCATGATATATTTTTAGAAATTTGACTTACTGGCATGAAGGTTTTGAATCCAAAACACTAAAAAATTAAAAATTAATTTTTGAATTTTTTTTCAATTTTTGTAACAGGGTCGAGAGGTATGTTAAGTAAGAATAAAAATGAGAATGCGATATGTCGATGTTTTTCAAATATGTCTTAGTCGAAAACTTAATTAGTTAACAAAATGGATGCATTTTGCCCAAATTCACTCTCTGTCTTTGAATATGTCTTTTTTTCAGCAGTTCCAAAATAAGAAAGCACTAGTGTTCATTAGCTATGATTAGGCTATCACTGCACCCTATATATTCTAAATATCTATCTGCACCTCTTCATTTTCAGATTTTGATATTGTATTGTGATGCACCACATGTCTTCTGCACAAATAATGATGCACAACATAAGATTTGATAGAGTTGTTTTATTTTATTTGAACAATGAACATTTACCAACAAATTTAAATGACTCAATCTTATTATGCTGTGCATCACTGAAATTATTTTTTTCAGATGAGAAAACACTTGCACATAACACTTGCACTTAAATTTGTTGTCCATTTTTTGTTGTCACGTATCCATTGTAGAGTTTTAGCTTGCACAGCACCGTCTTGTGTTCAAACACAGGAATCTTGTTCACAGCACAGCATTTCAATTTTGTTCTTCCAAATCTTTTTTTTAAATTTCTATCGAGTTCCTTTGGATGTCTGATAAGGAACCATTTCAAAGCACCAGGAGTGCCTTAGAATGACCCCAAGAAGGCACCACTTTTTCTCTCTTCTTCTTCTCTGTCACTCTATAGATATTGTTTCCAATATGGTGGCATGCTTGGTATTTTTAGAGTTTTTCCACAATTTTTGTTCTCATACTATGGTTAGTCTTTGTTACAATTGTGTTCCAAGCAGGAACAAGCACTTGATTATCAACTTCTTCAGCACTCTTCTGGTTGTCATTTGTTATTATTTTTTTCAAACTTCTCTTGTAACTCACTTTGGTGATGGTAGCTTTAAGCTTTGGTAAAGGTCTTACTCAATATTTTAGTAAAATTATGTGTCTTCCTTATATATTATGTCTTCCAGTAGCTTTTTCTTTCTTCAAAATATATCAAGCCTATATGTAAACCAAAACATTTTGTTGTTGTAGCGATCCAATCTGAACACGACAAATCCAGAAGTTTTAGTCATCCACAATGTTACACAAGATGATGCAGGATGGTATACATGTGTAGCCACCAATGCAGTTGGAATGAAATATAAAAGTGCCTGGCTTGAAATTCTTTCCAAAGGTATGTACATTATTGAAAAAGCATTTTTATGGGTCTAATGAAAGCAAGTAATAAAACCATTATTGACCATTCATTCAAATCAAGAAGAATATTGGCTGATAAAGGTTAGGTGTCAAAGATTACATTTCAAAGCATTAGTTAAGTTTGATATACAAGCAACAAAACGACCAGAGATATGTGGGAAGATGTTTTATTGCAAATATTAATATAGATTGTTTTTATTCTGTTAATTTTATGTACTATATCTCTACATATGGGCAGAATAGGTTGTTGTATTTTGTTGTATTGTATTGTAATATATTGTATTTTCAGAATCACTTGAAGCCGCAGTAGATCATGCTCCCGTTCGCGAAAAAGAGAAAACACGCATGACAACCATCATAATAGTGTGCTGCTCTGTTTTGACTGTGGTTGGTGTCATCTCTGCCATTGCCTGCGTTATGAAAACAAGACGAAAGCAAATTCTTCTGCAACAGAAGCCAGTCAAAAGAGTCATCATTATGCGTCCAGTAAGTTAAACTAATCTAATACATGTATAAATTTTTGATCTCTCGCATTCAAACATTTTGAGAGAACCTCAATGAAATTTTTTACAGAACATCTTTCTTTTTTCAACCACATTTACATACATGTATATGCACTACAATGACATTTACATAGAAACTTAAATACTAGTAATTGATATTGTGGCGACACTTCATTTTGTCTAGACCAGAACTTGTAATCTGGCAACTGTGTAAAGATCAGCAGACGTGAAATATTGCAGAACTCTAATTTGATTGTTTTCAGAATGATCTGTATTATACTAAAGGAGATCAAAGTGTTATTCAGCCACTTGTACGTATTGAAAAACAGGGTCGGCAAAGATTATCATCTGATGTAACTGAAGTGTCTGAATATGAGATACCACTTGATGCAGACTGGGAGTTTCCAAGAGAAAGGTAAAATTTGGAGGATGCTTTCATCACCTCACATCTGTAAAGTTCTTAAAGACCAATTGTGTCTGAAATTAGGCCATGTAATTGACATTTAAAACTCTTCAAACTTTTGTCTTGCTGATTTCTGATTACATGTATGCTAGGTTCATCAAAACCAAAAATAAGCTAGACACTTGTAAATTTTTGATTTATTGAAATTCTTGATTATTTCTTTCTAATAAACATAATAGCTAGTCAGTGCAAGCAGCATTATTTGATCACCATTCTGATAAGCTGTTCTTCGGCTCTTTCTAAACCCATTGAATTAACTTTCAGAATATTGTTGTAACAAAGTTAAATGTATTATCTAGGTTGGGTCTCGGTGAACGTCTTGGAGAAGGTGCTTTTGGTTTAGTAATGAAGGCTAAAGCTATGGGAATTGCCAATAATCCAGGACAAACAACTGTTGCTGTTAAAATGTTAAAAGGTTTGTTCATAATATTTTACTCAATGAAACACAAATAACAAAGTGTTATTAATTACTTCTTCACAGAGGTTCAATTCATCAGCAGAAGTTATGTAAAGGAGATGCTGCAAAAAGATCTTACTCTTTCATCACATTGTTATTTCAGATGATTCTACAGATAGAGAAATGACAGATTTGATGCAAGAGATGGAAGTCATGAAAGTTATGGGAAGTCACAAAAATATTATCAATTTATTGGGTTGTTGTACACAAAGAGGTAAGTTTGGAAATCCATGATGTGTGTAAATATTTTACTTCGCAACATAAAAAGGCTGGATGTACATTTATGGTAATGTTATGACTTGACATTTGTTGCATCAAATTATGGCAGCTTTTTTAAGAGGCTACAAAGTCAACAGTTTCAGGAATATCATTGTTGATGCATTCAGGATGCAGGAGGTTCACTACGTTTGTTTTGTTTCAGGTCCGCTTTTTGTTATTGTTGAGTATGCGCCTCATGGTAATCTTCGAGACTTCCTCAAACTGCGTCGTCCACCAAATTCTACTTCCTGTCCCTCCACTCCTGGCTATGAGAAGCCAGTCATTGATTTTAACTCTGTAGAAGTCAAACCTCTTACACCAAAAGATTTAATCTCCTTTTCTTATCAAATTGCTCGTGGTATGGAATATTTAGAGTCCAAACATGTAAGTATGGTTTTTAATTTTTCTAATGCTTAGGGTATCTAGTATATACTGTTTCATTTTCTCATTGCATATTCATGAAAGAACTACTTGTTTCGGAAATGACAAAAGACCAGTCTTGACATCATGAAATCAAAATCTTTCACTCAGACGACTGAAAGTATAAGTGCAATCACTATTGAGAAAGTTGGTGAAACCATTTGGTAAGTTTTCCAGAAAATGAACAATGTTCCATCTCTGTGTTAATGACATGTTTGTAATTTTAGTGTATCCATCGAGATTTGGCAGCAAGAAATATTCTTGTAGCAGAAGACTATGTTTTAAAAATTGCTGATTTTGGTTTAACTAGAAATGTTAAACATCTTGATTACTACAAAAAGACAACTGATGTAAGTTGAAATGTATTTCTGTTATGGGCCATAGTTATCTGACCAGATATTCTAGTTATCTGTGTCTGTATCTCTTTTCAAAATCAAAATATGACCTATGGTATATATGCAATCAAGAGCCAATTAGAATCAAATCAGGAAAGTTTTCTTGTGAAATTAAGCTACAAGACTATTAATTATCAAACACTTTGACTGAATTTAGCCTGCAACAAACACCAGAAAGCATAGTACTCAACTCACCAATCTGAATGAATTATTTACAGGGCCGGCTACCAGTGAAATGGATGGCACCAGAAGCCTTGTTTGATAAACGTTATACCTCCAAATCTGATGTGTAAGTAGGAAAATTTTCTTTTGGTTTGATGAAAATTTAAGTGAAGTTGAAAATGTTCTTTTGGAACACAAAATGCTTCATTATGGTGGACCTTCTGGAAAACATTATGCCTCTTCAAATACTTGTTCCTCCGGAACACCAAATGCCATATTTTAAGGTGGCCCTTTTGGAACACCTTATACCTCTTTCAATACTGTGTATGCTCTGGAACATCGAATGCTATACTAAATGATAAATTTGTTTATGGTTGCCTTTTTAGAACACCTTCTATACTTGTCAATTTGAAGAGTCTAAAATAATTTGGTTTTCATTTCCATTACAGATGGTCTTATGGAGTATTATTATGGGAAGTGTTTACTTTAGGAGGTAATCCTTATCCATCAATACCTGTAGAGGGCTTGTTTGATTTATTACGGAAGGGACACAGAATGCAGAAACCACCTTATGCTCCTTCAGAAATGTAAGTTATTTATTAAAGTCAATGATACCCGATCTACATTTACATATTTTGATTTCACACTCTTTACTAATCAGACCAAAAAAGTGGAAAATGTGTGGAAAAGTAGTTTATGATCATATTATGAATTGAATCTGACTGCAAATTTACTATTATGAGCAGTAGAGTAAAAACAAATAAGAGTCCATACTTATTTTGTTTTTTGTATCTATTTCAGCTATTCGATAATGTTGCAGTGTTGGAATGATAGTCCCAATGTACGTCCTAGTTTCAGTCAATTGGTTGCAACTTTGGACACCATTCTTTCTATGTCTCTTAATGATCAAGTAGGTATTTCTAACCTTTTTAGTCCCCTGGTTCCCAACCTGCAGTGTTTTCACCCCCGGGGGTGTAGGACTAGGGTGTCAGGGGTATGGTCAACTGGTGTAGTAGAAGAATTTATTTTGAGAGATCTCCTCACATCATCACATGCAAATGTGGATGAAACAAATTTTTGGGGTGTGTAATGTCCAGGTAATTGCTCCAGGGGTGTGAAGGCTGAAATAGGTTGGGAACCACTGTTTGTATGTGGCCTGGAATCCAGAGGTTCAGTTATATCGATAAAGTTCTTCAGATCTTTCCCTTTTAATTTTTTTAGTGAGAATGGACCTTTTTCTTAGCCTTACTTAAAATGCATCGTCTGATTGTATAAGTTGAAAGTTAAAAACAAGATCCCAGGAGCCCAATCACACATGGGCTAAAGAAGTTTCTTTTGGTTTTCAACTAGTTAAAGCAAATTCCACGATTGATTTCTTTTTCAGCCATATTTAGATTTGGAGCAAATGACAGTACCAATGAGTGTTTCAGACAGCCAATATCTTCAATGTCCCACTCCAGTTCAGAATCCAGTTCAACAGAAAGTCTTGACATTGGTAGTCATCATAAAGATGATTTCTAGACTAGATTCACCAACTTGTGTTGTGATGTTCAATTGTGCCCAATGCATTTTTATATGCAACAGAAGACAGTTCAAATGGTCGAATTCTTTAAATATATGTGATGTGGAATGACAATGACCGAATCGATGCTTCACCAGAAGTCGTATTATTATAATACTGAACTTGAACTGAAGTTCAAGGCTGCCTTTAGGACGTTTACATTTTCGATAAAAGTCAAGGTCACAATGAGAAATAGACTTGGGAAGTGTTATCTTTGTATAATAAGTGCTACAGTTTGCCATTTTTTGCACTTTGTGAATTATTTTTGTGTTTTTCACTGCCATTATAATCTTTATCCACTGTTGTTAAATATTCACAAAGTCTATATAGTATTGTGTGAATTAGATCACTGCCAACCACAGAGATTACAGACCCTGATAAACATTGTGATTGAACTTGGTATTTAAATAATCTATATGGAAATGATTTTACATCACTGTTTTGGATCTGTCAAGACTATTTCGGATCTGTCAAGACTGATTTTGGATGTCGAGACTGACTTTGGATCTGTCCAGACTATTTTAGATTTGTCAAGACTGTTTTGGATCTGTCAAGACTGATTTAGATCTGTCTAGACAATTTTGGATCTGTCCAATTTTGGATCTGTCAAGACTGTTTTAGATCTGAAGGTATTTTAAAAACTGATCATAATTCTAAAGATGATTTAGTACAATGAATTTAGTTCACAAATGAACATATTTTTTACCAACGGCTTTTAGTTCCTGAATCAAAAGATTTTTTAACAAAATGTATGTGTTTTGGAAACTGTTCATTTTACATGTATAGTTTTTGTCAGCAATATAGCTGTTTTAAGGAAATTGTTTTGTGAAGTAAAGGGTCTTTTCATAATTGTTGGCAGGACCAGGCTGCAGAGACTTTGATCCAGAACATTACTGCAGAATATGGAGAAAAAGAAAAAACTTTTAAATCTTAGTGAATCATTCATCCACACAATTTGTGTTGTTTAAGTGTGTTTGATTTTATATATATATATATTTTAATCATGTTCTGTGTAGTGTTGAACATGATATTGAACACAATTATTATTTTATATGGACGAAACTGGTATTTCAATGTAGAAGAATTTCATGTGGAACTATGAACAAATTGATATAAGCAGTAGTGAAGTGGAACAAAGTGATTTGAAAATTTCACCCAAACTGCTTTGTGGATCAAAATCAAATGGAACATTTCACCCAAACTGCTTTGTGGATCAAAATCAAATGGAACATTTCACCCAAACTGCTTTGTGGATCAAAATAAAATGGATCATTTCACCCAAACTGCTCTGTGGATCAAAATAAAGTGGATCAAAATAAAATGGAACATTTTTGTATGAAAGGCACAGGATTCTGCCTTTTTTGAAAATATATACATCATAGAGTGATATATAGACAAATGTTATCTAATTGGAAGTTTGTCTCAGGCTAATTTCAATCTCAAAATGATTCCTTAGTTCTGTGGTAATAAGTCTGTTTCTAAACCAGCTATATTCTTGTGTCAATTTATCATTTTGAGATCGAAATGATTAAACAGATAAAATGTCTTCCATTTTCCTTTTCTTCAACCAAAGATTGTTGAAATCCAACAAAGACTTGAAAATGAGGGGAAAAGTGAGCAAAGAACTTGATCTGAATGACGAATTTCATGAGACAAACATCCTACAAGTTTGGAATTTAACACAAAGTTTGGAAGATTAGATTCATGTCTGTTGCTGAAAATCTTACTAGAATGTAATAAAGTTGAAACAAACATGGCCAACATATATAAAGCATGATTATATTTTTGATATCCGCTCAGTTAAAAAATTTTGGAATTTCCTTAGCAATGTTAGATCTTTAAAAATTCTAAACTGGTTTTGCTCTCCATCGAACAGATCCTCAGCTTTCCTCTCTATTTAGCTTGACTACTGCCAAAATAAAGTGACAATGAATTGATATTAAGAAGTATGGTGGCCATGTTATAATTTTGTAGCAAAGGAAAAGATGTGAATAATTTTGTTAATTTCAAATCTCTACACCTATGATGTTATTATGTATAAAATATTATTATTATTATTATTTACCAAATTCTCCATTTCCCCCCCCCTCCGAGTAAACAGGGTTTACATAGAATATAATGTTACAGATATATTTTCAAGTTTTATATTTCAATTCAGAGAGCATAGGACTGTTGTCTGAAAAGCTTGTCTTCTTATAATTAATTTCAAAAACACTGGAATTGCTTTCATGAAGAATTTATAATAGATGGAATAGTTATTCCAATCATTATTTGGTTTGTAAGTTTCGAACCAAGTTTCATTTTCAACGTTTGAAAAATTGAAATGATTCTAATGAATATTGAAGTTTGTCATTAGTTGCAAGAATGGACAGAAAATTTGTATTTACTTTCAGGCCAGTTGGAATGACCAGCTGCCAATAAACTAGTTAACTACGTTATGATGCCCAACAGTATATTTGGGTTGAAAGCATGTAATGTTCCTTACCAAACCTCTGCTTTTTAGTCATCATTACTCAATACAATTGAAACCTAAAGACCCACATTTTACCTGAAATCTGAAAGAGATGACAAGGATTCACATTATCAAGGATAGAGGTCACTATTTCTACAGATGAATGTATATTGTTAATTAAGCCTTAATGAATTTCTGTATATATAGTGATAATTTACAGCTCAAAATCTAATATAAATATATATTTCTAGTTCAAACATTATACCTAAGGTGCTGAAACCTTAATGATTTGTCCTTGTTTTAAACCTAATTATCATTCTTTTATTTGTGACTCCATAGAGTCCAGAAGAGCAAAAGTTCAAACATGCTTTCAGAAAGAAAGGACCATATTAAATTTTTTATAAACAATAACTTCCTTGCAATGATAATTTATATAGATAACAACTCTTGAAGATCCTGTCTACCAGGTTGTCCTTGGTCAACTTCATGGATGTGATCCTTCTCAGATTACAAATACCTATTTCACTCGGTAGACTTGAATCATGAGCACTATTTCAGGTCAGTGTTGTTTTGAAAACAAATGATAAAGTTCAGTCAGTACCATTGGAGCCACTCTTCATCACCATTTATTTGATATTTTATGATCAGTATATTTTGCAATAGTTTCAATGAAAACCAATTGATTTATTTTGTGTTGATTTAAATTTGTGAAATGAAATTAAAAATCCAGGGAGTGATGATGACAAATAGGGCAGTGCCTTGATTTGGCATTTTTTTTAATATGTTTGTTTTTTAAGAATGTCACCTGTGATAAAGCTCCTTAGAAATAAATCCTTCATAATTCTGAATATTTTTATTAACCAGTTATTGAGAATTCTTATTTGATATATGAAAATGCCTCATTGAACTGGATAAAGATTCTCGAGAAAGTGATATTTGATATCAAAATTCCTTCAAGGAATCAAGGAAAATCTAGTTAAAATATGATTTTCTCACCCTAAATTTTGAAATTTTGATCATTCTCATAAATCATTAATTTTGTAAACAGAAAAGTGCTTTTGATTCTTGTGTATTTAAATTTTATCTGAGGTATGACTAAACTTACCATGTACCAATATTTTTCTTAAGGTGTGTAGGAGCTTATCACAGGAATGTAATTGCTTTCTCTTTCCCTTGAGTCCAAACGTAGAGTTAAAATTGTGCAAGACAATGAACAAAGTGTTCAAAAATAGGACAAAATAGTGCTAAATATTTTTGTAAGTAGTTGTTACTGTCTTGAATTAGATAGAAAAACTTTTATTTCTCTCATGTTTTAATGACATTTGTAAAAATTGTGAATTTTATTTAATTTCATTGTGAAAACCATAAATTATGATAGTGTGCTAAATCTTTATTGTTTCATTGGTTAATTTCATTCTCATTTACATATCATTTAAATATTACCATAAATGGTCATATCATGTAAACTTTTAAAAGCATTTGATGTCTGTTATTTTCTGCATCAATTTTAAAGCATTTCTGATCAGAATTTTAGATACATAGCATTTAATTTCATTTTTTAAACACACCATCATGTTTTAGTATTCAGTTATGTTCATAATATATAGGACTAGAATCTTGAAGCTTGTCTTCACTAAATTGCATTTATGTGTTCAACTTTATGTAAATGGGTAATTATTGAACTTATTTAGTACTCTGGTCTCAATAGTATTTTTGGTGGTTCCTGCTTTAATATGTTTCTAAAAAGGATTTTCAATGCTTAAAATAGTTATAATGTGGATGTATATGTACGAGGAACCATTCATATTGGTAATTGAAAACTACCATTAAGCTACCATGAAATTTGCTGTTCTGTATTCACATAGCCTTTTGGGCGACCGCTTGTTTCACTTGGGCT